AGCTTATGAAAATATTCTAGAAAGGTTTTACCTTCTACCAAGGTGCCTGCCTAACTAATAATGCCAGTGATAGGTATATTTTCTAAACTATTAGATATAGGTAATTGGATTTAAACTTATTGTTCAGGTAGGTTTAGACTTGCAACAAAAGCGGTAAGCATTTCGTTGTGCTGGAAGCCTGCAAGTAAAGAGTTTGTTTATTGATCTCGAGCGCCGCTATGGCGATTTATTGCACATCCGAGGTCACACGTGTATAGCCAATAATGAAACTCGTGCAAATTTAAGTGTTGTGTGCATGCACTCCATATCTCGATTTTCCTTATCGGCAGTATGACGACTCTATTATAAGTTTAATGCAGCAACTTCACATAGCAGTGATATTTCCGTAGTCACATATTAAAAAAGATGTGGACACGAGGTGTCTTACTTTCTTTACCTTTAACATTTAAGTGATATTTAAATATTGGTTTTATTGTTTAAATTCATTGAAAACAGTATTTATTACATACCCGTTTTTAGAGAATTTTATATTTGGGACCATGCATAAGTAGAAACCGGCCCGGCGCAGTGGTGTATAGACATAGAGTGCGCAAGCGCTATGATGCAACGCGATTATAGATAGGTGCGTTCGGCAGTGGTGGAAACATCTACGTCAGCGCGGTAGGTGGACCGGCTCGTGTACTGCGCAACTAGGTGTGTGGAACTACACAGTGAAAAAATACAAAATCATGTGACGAATACAGATAAAATGTTATCAGCTGACGCGTACTCTACTAGATGTTCACTTGTCAGTTAATGGTATTCTGATCGAACACATTTTCAATAGTAAGTTGTGTCAATGTTGGTCTTTCTAATGAAACCACCGATAAATATTATCACAACAATTTTATAATGATCCTCATCTCTTTTTTTGCCAGTTAAAATGCACAAAACTGCCGTAACTGCAACAACTGCAAGTTCTTGACGTCACTACATGTTATAATTTGTATGTCCAAATTAGGTATTGATCTTCGTCATACCTATGAATTATAGACCTATATACAAAAATAGGCCATATTGTACAGGTACAAGACAAAAATAAATGATAATAATTATTAAAATTCGCTTTGCATGCAGAATACTGGCAAAGCCTTGCTTCGCTCTAATAGCTATGTCCTCCGTCAAGGTCTGCCAGCTGACGTCAAGCTCTTACGCTCGGTAACAAGAGATTTTGCATCCAGTTATATTTATTCTATGCAACTAGTGAACACGTCAGTTACTATCGAGATATATACCATCAAAGACAATGCAATTGTTTCGAAATAGATCTTATGTAATCGCGTAAATGGACCAAACTGGATCTAACTTCTGTATAGGTTGCTTTTTTCAGGTATAGAAGGCGGCGATAGCTGCGGTGAGAAGGCGTAAGTGGTGCGCAGGAACAGGTTCTGCACGGATCACATGTGGCCAGGTCGGCGACCTCAGGGACGATAATCCGAGAACAGCCGTGGCCCGCCACTCTGCCACTCCGCCATTGCCACTACAACTATCATATTTTGGATGCGAGATAAAGAGCTAAGAGCATTTTATTAATCTCTACAAATTAGGTATGATCTGATAACATTAAAGACGGTATATTCAATAAAGTGGAAACATATGAAGTGCTTTATTGGAGTGATATATTTATATTCATATAAATAGTGAATTATAACTCAGGAGTATTTATTTCGCTGAGGCAGTTGCGTACTTTTAAACATTTCTTTACAGTTCCTTTGCCATCGTGTCAAAAATTCATAGACGTATCGATAGAACAGTTGGCAACGATGCTTATGTCATAATTCTGCACGGCGACACCACGTCTGGGGCATACCATTGTTCTGCTGCACCAATAATAGCCTGTTAGCAACGGCTAATGTTTGCGTAGGTCGTCCATCCGTACGTGGCCATATTTTGATAATAATAAATAAATATTTTTTGCAAAACGAGTATAACTTTCAAAATGATATGTGTCTTTGACCAAAACTTTATATGAGTCTTTTGGAAAAGCTCTCGTTGAAAAACATAAATTACTTCTATTAGCGTGACGACTGCCTATAACATTATTTACAAAAAAAAAATCCAAGAATATTTTTTCATTCCATGGGAGTAAATAGCCCTTACGTAATTGAACAGAAAATATGTAATAGGAGAGCGAGCGCGACGAGTCTCCGGTCCGCCCACCACAAGCATTTGGCCGCCAACAATATGTACACAAGGTTATAAACAGAGCGTGGGCCTGCAACGCAAGCCAATACAATGTCTAACACCTACTGTACCTACGTTGCGTTGTTTGCTATTTTGTTCTCTTCATAATATGATGATGAGGGACCATTGACAACATACTAATACTTGGGTATTAATGGCAGTAGTGTAATGCTCCGACACACACCTTTTCCTCGGAAGTCTGCGTTTGCCAACGGCACCAGAAAACTACATTCTCTTCGGAAAGCAATTTTCATTTCTGATATTTATTTATAATGGAATAGTAGGCAAATGAGCAAATGGATCACCTGATGGTGAGCGATCAGCAATACCAGAGGAGTCACAGGTGCGTTTGGAAATACCGCCGACGACAGATCATTCCACAGTTTGCTGTGCGGCAAAAAAGAATGCGCAGTTGTTGCCTGCCATCCATCCATCCATATGACATGGATGAAAATGATGTGTGGGTCGATGGTGAAAATACGCTGCAGGTATCAAACCAAACAATTCCTCTATCGTATAAGAGCTTATAAGCGAAGCGAAGAAGATGCACAACAAAAGAAGTTACACCTCTACGCATTGCCAAAGTGTCTAACCGGTTTGATATATCCCGACACCCAACAATCCGAATCGCACGCCGCTGCTGAACGCGGTCCAGAGGAAGAAGCTGGTACTGGGGTGCCCCCGCCCAAAGATGAGAAAAATATTTCATATGGGGCCAAACCTGCGCCTTGTTTTTGAAAGATACAGTAAAGCATGAAAATAAGTATGTATAATATACATACTTATACTTAAGTATGTATAATATACATACTTATTTTAGGCACAATTTAAACCACTTTTTTAAAGTGAGCTAATTAAAATATTTATAAAATAATTTTAAATATGTACCGTACGTTTATGACATCTATGAAAAAATCTTACTAGGTAGTTGCGTTGACTCTAATGATCATGTTAATAATATAACACAGTAAAGAGAATCGTCATAACTACCTGCAATAAACTACCTATCGGCTGCGGTCGTAGTCACTCACGCAGTCATAAACATTTATGTCAATTTTACAATGGTGTTGCATAACTGCGGCCGTAGAGCGCTGCGCCGCGCCTTGACATTGTACGACACAGTGAACCGCGCACGTGGATCGTAAAATATATTTTATGCACATATGTTCGTTGCAGTCTTTATTCTTGGCAGTAAATGTGATTGCCATATTGGACTGATGCAATAAATAACAAATCAAAGTTAGCTTAGAACAAAAATAAAATTAAATAATTACTTAGATACCTACTTAAATTATTATGGGTACTTATTATTACCTACTTATAAGTATAGGTAATAGATAAATGTCTTTTAGTATTTATTTAAGTATGAATTATCTCGTTGCATTTGCAGTAGGACGCTGCAATAGACATGTCAACTTTATTTGTATCATCATAACTCAATAACCTATTTTACAAAAGATGCTGATGAATAATCAAACTATCAGTTATATTAATAACTTAGTACCTATGTCCTAGTTATAGTTGTGGACAAGTTTGATGCAAGATGCGTAAGTGTGTGTAAGAGGGGCAAACTTTTTTTTAGCAGTTCCATTGGTTTCTAATTTTCAATGTCCTATCTACACTATTAGGTACGGCAGACAGGACAATAGATCATTCAAATTATGTTAACAAAGATACACTAGTAATGAATACTAGAGTCCGACACGTGTAGTCAATGTTTCTACTCATAATGCACCGATGTTATGTACTAAACGACGTGCATAAAGTGTCAGTGACTTCTTATCTAACGCATGACTTTGGAATATGACTAGTTACTTAGTTGGTTATTGCTTCGATGAGGTTGATTAAGTAGTAGACGTTGATTCGTTTTTATCTAATAATAAATATCTATTTTTACTGAATTTTATTTGTTGGAAGAATATAACATACATTACACTTTCAAAATTTTATGACGTGATAGTAAAAGTGACGAAGTATAGATACCTATGTCCTGCATGCACGACTTGGTTATAAGTTGAATGCCAAGAATGGGTGCATACAAGTAATTACGTTATTGCACAAAGACATTGTTACAATGGTATTACATAAGCTCATAGTTCTCCTGTTTTAAATGTCGATGAGCAAGCAAACCTTGAAGTGCATCTGTGCAGTTTGACTCATTGCTCAGCGAATTATGCGTCACAAAGGATTTTATATAAAAACAACGTCTTTGTAATACAGTACAGTAAACTGACAGTTATTTCGCAAATCATTATTATCTTTTAATGGATTTATCAGTAAACATATTGTTGTTGTTTTGGTAAGACCACGATACAAAGAGTAAGATCTTTTCAATGTAGGTAAACAATAAACATAGACAAATTATTTAAAACGTTGAATTATCGCTAGACACCATATACCTATGAAAAATTATTCATTCACGCGTTTTTATATTCCTAAATAATAAAGGGCATAGTTTATGTGAGAGAAACTCTTGTGATATTAACCGACCTGTATAGCGCTTGGCGTAGTGGTACCTATATCTATTTGTGATGAAACAGTTATTTAATATACAAGTAATTTCCCAATTATCTTCTTTATCTTGCGGTCTTTGTAACATGAAAGCGACTACGAAGTGTGTCACGGTCTAATTGAAGTCGTACTGGCGACTGGGTACGTTCCACACGACATACTATATAATTTGGTTTCTGCACCGTTACCATCTAATTGCAATTTAAGCTTAAATGTGCTACAAAATTATAGAGAGTAATCTTCTGGATCTTTAATCTATGACTTACCCTTTTCTTGCGTGGGTGGATCTCTTCATAGTCCATTGCGATTCCTTCGTCGCTGAAGGAGGAAGAGGCTGGTGGAGGCGATGGTGTGCCCGAGCGCCATGATGAGTCTGAGCTGCTGCTGGCTCCTGGAGACACTGATGATCTATCACCCCATCCTGCACCTGTCATACAAATAATTACAATATATTCTTTACGTCTTTTTATATTCGATTTTAAATTTCAAGTGAATGAAGTTGCTCGAATGCATTAAATAAATTGCGAAACAGAACTTTGGTCAGAAACTTTCACTCACTAGAACGGTTATTTTCTCGTGGCACACATGCGTTTGCGCATTAGAACAGTCGCTTTTGCTGTTCTCTAGAGCTATCGTTAAGTTTTATGATTGTGTGAATGGTCTTGATGTATAGCTATAAGTAATATTATTACATAAGGGATCCCGAGCTCCCGCCGTCTACAGACATGTATGTAACTGAAATGTTCTGTTTAGTTCAACTATTTCAATGATATAATTAGTTTCAGAGATCGACTTTTATTCGTAAAATAAAGGGTTGCTGCAAATATGCTAGTTGAGCTAGAGCACATTTGGTTGAAGCTCATCATGAGAGCGCTGTTACACCAAATACCTGTCTAGACACTGTCTAGACTGCTGTCTAGACGATATCCACGTTTTGCAGATTTTATCCAGAATACAACCGGGCGACTCCCTTAATACGTATATTTACATTAAGTGGAGAGTAGTTTTTGGATTTAATTAAGTATTCACATGCATCTCCCGGTTTGAATAAAATACCTACTTACATAGAAAATTAAAGTTGTGTTATACCTAGTTTAAACAGGCCATTTTTTTACCAACTGCCAAAAGGAGGAATATCATTAAAAAGCGGGTTTAGTATCTACAGTTGTCAGGCATATTTCAATGAAAAGATAATGCAAGACTCTATCTATACATACCCCCATGAAAAAGTCAGTGAGGTAAGTTCTGCTATAACAAATAACATTTGAATTGGACAATTATATAGTGATTGGAATGTACAAATACATATATACGTCGTACCTAGGCAGCTCGTCTTATGTAAACATGTGGTCAACTTGTAGTGTGCGTAAGTAGAGATATGGCGTAACGTAACAGTATGGTGACGTAATTCACGTAATAATAAATGTGGGAACTGACTATCTACCAGTGCTGACGATGCAGATCAGCGTTGTCGTAGATGCAAAGGTAATGGTGTGTGCGCTGTGGTGCCGTGTGGTGTCGTGTCGAGCGACTTACTGGGGCGCGGTGAGTTCGGGGAGCAGCTCAATGACATCAGCACGAGGGCAGCATTGCACTCGTTCATCTGTTCGTCACGCTCGCCGTAACCTTGGTCACAGGAGCTGCTTGGCCCGCGCTTACGTGAACTGCAACAAATAATTATCAAGTTATTTTTGCTCTGCCAATAATATTTGGGATGAGTGGATAATGAAAAATATTTCAATTGAAAAAAATACAAAAAATTTTCATGACATTTCATATGCATGTGCATACACGTGAGCTTAAAAAGTAAATACGTAGGTAATATAAAACTATATGATTTTCCCATTACTTTTTTCTTCCTTTTAGAGTTCTCTCAGAACTATAGGTATGAGAGAGACTAAGAATTAACTAATATCAGTAACATCTAACAAAAGCTGCCTCTATCCCTTCGAAACAAATGAGGCGTGACGTGATGGCGTGATAATGATTGAGTGATCATCAGTAAACACGTTCATAACAAAGTTTGTTTTTGCAAAACAGTTGCCAACTGGTGACAGCGTCATCAATTTGACCTATAGACTTTCAGGTTTCTGTACATATTGATTGCTTTAAATCTTCGCATGACATTTCGAGACCGACAGCCTTGCGTGACCTTCAAGGTAAAAGAATTTACAGCGCATTTTTTCAGGAATAAGTAACATAAGAATATGTAAATGTATCAACCACCACAATTACTACGTCAAGATCAACTAAATTACAAAAATAAAAAATATCGAGACACCTACAATGATTTTAAATATAAATTATATGGGTATCTAATGTTATCTTCTTAATTCACAAATAATAAAAATCTTAACAATAGTAAGCAAATCCCAAACAGATAGAATAAAATATATTTGTAATAATTTAATTGAGTATTATATTGTTCAAAAGTATCCACAGAAGTGTTGACTAAATTGTGAACTGTTGAAAAAATTTTGATTTGTGGTAAAGTGTTGAAAAAATCTATAGCAACATCTAATTAAACCAATTTTAAGACTTATTTGAAAATCTCATCAAATCTAACGTGTGCTACGATAAAATATCTAATTATATTAAGATTGATTCATTATTCACTGTAACTTTATGCATTGTTTGAAAGAGCGATGGATTGCTAGCATTCCCGAATGTTTCTCGAGGTTACCGCCAAAGGTTCACGTCATTGAACAATCAACAAGTCTAGACTGGATTATTGAACTTAGGAGTACCAATGTTGGGATGGCGGCATGAAGTGACTCGAGGTCGCGGGGATGCGTGGGGTGGGTGCGTCTGTTGCGCAACCGGCGGCGACCCACAAGCGATAGACATTTGAACGAGTCACACAGGACGAAGGCTTTTACTCTGACCGATCACCCTGCCACCTTCACAACTTATAGGTACGGTACTAGGTCGTTCAACTCGACTCGCTCAGCGATTGAACTGAACGCCGGGGCCCAATAACCTGCTCTGTCTATAGCTGTATTAAGTATGTATTACTAACTATATCTATTTTAAAATCATGCTATAAAGCTAGTCTTATTTTTTATGTACAGCTAATTTAACATAAATAAATCGCACGTTCAGGTACTTATGAGAGCGGGTGTTCTAGCGATTTATTGAGCACTGCAAAAATAGAGTCAATGACAAGCTTTATCAGTAATGAAAAGGTAAGCCTGTTTGAACTTGAGTTCACTTCGGGAGCCTGTGGCGGCGTCCTTGACGACCACGAAGCGGCCCCGAGCGACTGCGTTCACCCAAGATCACCGACCGGCGCGACACGGCGCGCGCATCCCCTAAATAGCATCTTTGCTAAATATCTACGAGTAACAAATGTAATTTAAACTAATTTAGATATTTAAAGTGACAACCATTAATAAAATCAGAATGAAAAGCCGCTTATTGGTTAAAGTAAATTGCAAGTGTGTATGCTCAGATATTGCCTGCATAGCTACTTGAAGTTTTATCTTCACGTGTGTCGTTTATGACCATTGTCTTTTTTGTGTCGTAACTACATAATAGTAAATAACTATAATTTAGTCAAAATTAAAGTTCTTTATCTGTATAAGTTGCATCGTCTATTTTATTTAATAAAAAGTAAAACATAGAGCTATGAAACCGTATGCAATAATGAATGTCATTGTTTTACTAATGTGATGCGAAACGATTTTCTTAAGTAAATGCAAGATGATGTGTTACTCAGAAGTAAAAATATTATAAACAGTTGGCACAGCCGATGAGCCGACCTACGAACGCACCCTAGGAACAAGGTGTAATAACCTCGCGCCACAACGACCTTCTATCAGGTTCGTTATCCGATTCAAAACAGATAATAATTTTAGGGGTGTACTGTAGGTCACTTAAACATATTATTACTGTAAAAAATGTACGGTTCAACGTATTAGCGAAGTGCTAAAATAGAAATCCCATGAATATTTTCAGTGTGCAATGTGAAATCGTTTATTATTGTATAGAGCGACTAGGTTAACTGACGGACAACGGGGTCGTTATCGTCCTAAGACGACGACCGATGCTTACGGAGGTGACATTGTTTTTTTGTATACGATAATAGGGATGTTCGCCGGCCGGTGCGCAGTCGCTGCCGCGGCGGCGCGTCACGGCGCGGCGTCGCGTCAGCGACGACGTCATTTCCTATGAACATTATGTAAAATGGCTACGTATCAAAATGATACCGGACTTGCTCATGACACCGGGTGACCATTCCGAGTCAAATTTCATTGTCGTTGCAATGACGTCAATATAAGTATTTTATCCACATTCTTAGTTCATCGACCAAGCGTGATACACGTATACTATTAGTTCCATACAATTAAAGGAATCGGTTTTCATAGTTTGCCATGGTCACCGGGCTTGTGCGCGTTACCGCGCAGCACCTGTGCACACATTCGCTCCGCACCGCGACCGTACTGCCCGCACTACACACGTAACATTGAAAACGACCTTGCGGCTTGTTGCCGGCTACCGTGTTACTGGTTTAGCACTGATAGCAAAAAATATTATGCGTGATATAAACAATCCTTAATTTGTGTTTAATAATATTATGATTATTTTGGTGAGAAGCTACGTCAGATACAAAGTTCATCAAACATTATTTAACTACTCGTATACGTAGCCTACACGTTATACCTCCAACAACAATTTTAGCGAAACTAGAATCTAATACCGATTTCACCATGTTGTGTTGTGAGCTCGTAGTTTTTTTTCTAATGAAGCACGTGAACATCGATACGCATGATGTCGCACTGACACCTACGCACTTCGCGGCTGGTAGACTTTCTTGAAACTACGATGCTTATTATACCTGGTACTGGCTGGATTATTTCGTATGTAAGTGCTAAAGTAGGTTAGGTAGTTATCGCTTTCCAAACACTGATTTAGGTACCAACCTTTAGATACAACATTACCTTCGATGACCAAAATTGTACTAGCTAGGTACTTATTATAAAGCATTGTATTGCTTCGAAAAATAAACTGAAGGTCTTCAGCTCTCATTGTATAAATTCGTCAGTGTTACATTGTACGCTTGAAGCTAATTCGTTTTTTGCCATGTTGATGTAGGTCGGGCGGGCGTTTTTTATAATAATATCTATAAAAACATAGATCCGTTGTGTGATCGAGTTGGTGATATGGCTTGGTCTACGCGCGGCGAGTACCTAAGTTTTGATTTTGATTGACCTACCCACTTTAATGTAAATAATTTTTCGCGCCGATTCCTTGCTCCTGTTTCTTGTGAAATATCATGATTGGTACACACAACACTTCTTTAAATTACAATTTAACTTGCATGAAACTCCATAGAAGCAAAAAATCGTTACTTAAACTGTGACTCCCATTATTCTGTAGATTTCGAAGAATAATCGCACACATGAACTGTTTTTGTCCCCGCCGAGAAGTGTAATAACCTGCAGGTAGGTCGCCGGAAAGTCAACACTGAGGTGAACATTCCGGATGAGTAATCGTGTTCCTTGTATTATGACGTATTCGAGTTTTAAAGATGCCCTTTGTTCATTTTGAAGGTGCAACAGCAGTGAAATTTTTATAATTATCTTAATGACGATACGTTATTTTCTTATTTGACTGACTTCACTTAAAGTAACAATTAATTGTAGTTGCATAATGCGTTCTGAATATATTTTTGTAACACTTTCTCGAGCTAGTAGCAACATAACTGCACCTGCCGAATGAGATAACGGGCCTCCTCAACACCAACGAAAGCAAACGTGTACCTATCCAACGTGAAAGTGCCGCCATCGCCCCACCACTGTCTGACTCGCGCGCGCGCCTTCTCTTTACATGTTGCGCAAACGCATGCGGAATGTAAGTTAATGTCTTGTGACTTTATTTTATATTTCCATGGATAAATTACATTTACTTCGTTCGCAGTACAGAACATAAAGCTTCACAATATTATTAGGTATTAAGTTTTTTATCTAGACATCATTCTTGATTTGTTAATAAGTTTAGAAAAACAATTGGACTGTGGTGTTTCATAACGTTCTAAATACTACCTAATTTAATTATAAGTTTCTTCTTAAATTGGGGACCAGTGGTACCCAATTTAAGAAATTAATAAACTAAACGAAAATGCGACGAAGAAGCTTAATATTTTGAATTTGAGGATCGTTCTGTATTTGTTATGGGTTGTAGATACTCAGTAATCACTATCATATTAGAAAAGATTTTGACAATACTGCCTGCTTGCTTGCTGTAAGCACCAATCATTATGGACCTGGTTATATCCTAAAATAGCAAACAGCTAACGAGAAACGGGTACCATCAGTTTTCAACGATCTAACTGCGTACCCTAGCTGACTCTGATGGTGAAGACTTTTAATGTAATACAGTACAAGGAGATGTCTGAGTTGGTTGCTTAGCGAAGTTAGATGCATTTATTGCTGACTGTAGGAATACACTTCTCCAATTAACTTGCCTTGTGTATCATTTGCGGATATCGTTGTGTACTGTACTATTCTAGTGTGTGCGGCGTTCCATTTCGAAACTGGGTCACTGTGTCACACGGCGGCCGCGCCAAGCACCAGCCGAATGCGACGCCATCTTTGAATTTAGTTGATTCATGCATGTACCAAACGAAATGATTACAATTCATTGTTTAGTCGTTCGAATTTTATGTTACGAGTTTCCAAATGTTGTGTTTTTCAGCAGATAACCGTGAGTTTATACAAGGTAATACCACAACTAATGTCGTCATCAGACGCCTAACTAAAAGAAAACGAATGTTGGCATACTTTCACTTTGGCATGGTCCGATCTGAAATTGCGAAATTTTGTCACGAATTAAATTTCTATCTTATCTATCATTACAATGAGGAGAGAGAGCGCAACGCAATCTTGTTAAATTCGTACGTGGTCAGCTTAATTACTAATATTCTGTGTACATCTGCGCCTTGAATAAAGTGTGTAATAATAAATTACTCATCTGGTTATTGCGACTGCAATAATTTGCTAAGCTATCTCACAAAATTCATAATGAATTGTATTTACAAACAGGTTTTATGAAATCATTGCCTACACGTTAAATATCAACCGCTGGCTTTTAGCTCTACTATTAATGCGGACTTCTTAATTATTCTATATAGGTAGGTATGTAATCGGACTGACCTTCGACAGGTTGTGTCCGTAATCCGTTAGTTTTGTGAAGAATAATAAAATATAATTTTGTATTGTTCTAAACACAACAACAGGTTAGTTTGAATTTACTTAGTCAAACGAACCTTTTCAACTGTGAAGGCATCTCAAGGTATTTGATACGATACCTCAGTAGTTAATATTGTCAAAATAGTTGACTAGCGCAGTAGGTCTATAAGCAGCTTGTTCCTTTAAGACTCGCTTTGGTATTGTGAAATTTGGACCACGGTGGAGGCCTCGCCTCTCACTACGATCACGATGAAAAGTGAAACCGCGGTGGCGTCGAGCGTCACGTCGTGCCAAGCATTTGATGCTGTTTTTTCCGGTTCTACTAAAGTACAATATAACTTGCTTACTGACGTTAGGTAGATATTACTGGCGATTTATGAAAGTGTTCCTATTTACCACTGATCAGCAGAGGAAACTTTGTACCTATCTCTATATAATTATGGCACCTCGATAGTAACTATTCTTTCGATTTATTCATAGATAGGATAGGAAGGCAGATACCTAGAAGAAGAAAATGCGTACTAGTCAGAGCTGTATGTACTCGTAACAATTATGTAATGCATTAGATTTTTTAATAATTCTCACAACGTTGCATTGTCTGTCCCTGTTAGAGGCGCGGCAAGGGGCGAGAGGCGCGGGCGGTGGGCTCCGGCCACAGAATGTAGGCAAGTGTGACAAGGACACGCCCGTACTCCGCGCTAACACTTCCATCCAGTTTCTAACGTGCTCGGTGCGCGTTTCGCAACGCTCGCCCGCGCCCGGCCCCACTTCGTCGATGCACAGTGCACACTCGTGAACGATTACATCTACCTACCTACTACAAGGTAACTTACTAAACATACTAGCACCTCATGACTGGGAGTCACTGCCGAGTTTTACTACCAATTTCATTGATTGTAACCTTGACATATTATTAGGTGCTTAAACATTTTTGCCATCGCAACTCGAGAGGAGATAACAACTCAACTACATTTTATCAGTTTTTGATGAAATGAAAGTATCTGTCTGGAATTGAGATCACAGATTCCTATAAATACCTATGTTTGGCCTGGTGAACTAAATAATTAGTAAAATCCACATAAAGAGATTTTGCAAGGCAGCGAATGGCCATTAGAAATGCAACGGCAGCGGCCTTCCTTAGCGCTTGTGGCGAGGTGAGCCGCTACCTCAAGGCAAAATAGCATTGATATTTGTTAATTAGATTCCCTAGTCCCAGATTTACATTATTCTAATCGTGACTTAAAACTTTTGCTCTTGGGACAGCCGAGGGAGCCATTTCTCTACAGTGTAAATTTCTTGTTTTTTTTAAATATACTGTATGTAGACTTACCTTTGCACGGGGCTTGGCGGTACTTCAATAGTAGCAGAGGAACGACGACGATCTCCGGCCATGTCTGCTAATCTAGCAAAGTCTGTGTCCACATCTGCCAATCTGGCTGACTTTCGTGACTCCAACAGCCTTACGTCATCCAGTTTTTTCTTCAACTCAATCCGCACCTGAAGCAAAGTGAAGATAGGTCAATAAAACATTTTTAATGCACAAACTTTCATAAATATGGTAAATGAACGTAAAAACTTCACTTGAGTGTCTACAAAAGTTCTAGGAAAGATTTACTTGACGAACTTGACGACCACGAGATCAATATGGCCGACCTTCATACGAATTACTGTGATCGGGTGAACGAGTTGGTGTGACGTCATGACCGGATGAAAACGAACATGATGCATGTTCTGTATCACGAACTGCATAATATGTGGCTCTGCCATGAAGAATACGTTTTAGAGTAGGTAGGTACTTGATTTAATGTAAATTTAAATAAATATTCTAGAGCTAATTTAATTAAGTTAATTAGTCATTGTTTTCCATGTAGCGTACTGATATACTGTAAAATCACAGTAAGTAATAAGTACCTACCTATTTAATGGAAATTCCTATATACCTACAGTCGAGCTTGCTTTAGAACAGGAAACACGCAACTCAAATACTTGCTCTATAGAGGTAAACGAGTTAGTATTGTATGTGCTTGTCAACATTACTGAAAATTGCATTTGTACATATAATAAGTGCGCTAAGCTGCGGCATTTTTGTAAAGTGTAAATGGAGTATCATGCTTTGAGTTTAAATCTGTTTTACTTGGATGACACCTATTAAACATATACCTACCTTAAGGTTTTTTTCTTTGTACATAGAAGGAAGAATGTCATGTTGAAAAGTTCTGAACAACAATGTGCAATATAAGTGTTTACAGATTAATTCTATGTTTTTCTGTCAAGGGGAATTCCGTAACCATAAGTGCTTCTAAGGGAGTTTCCACGTTATTATAATCTACTCTTTTGAAATATTCAATGTACCTAATTGGTTTGTCATACACACGTCAGAGAGTACGACGTATCTGTATGAGCTGAACTTGTAACCAGTATTAGGAAGCAGGCATGACTGTATGACGCATGTATATCACGCACTGGTAAAGTTGCTCGTATCGCGGTCACACTCTCGGTCAATTATGTGCCAACGAGCAGTGCGCTGTCGACTGGTTGACATTGGTTGCGTTTTCGTCGCGGGCTTCCTTCTACGACGCGACTGCCTTCGTGATTGACACGTTATCTATCCACATAATACATAATGAGTGTACGTAGTATTTTTTGATACGCTAGGCAGTATGAATAACCTTGTCATATTTAGCATCAATTTAGCGAGAGACCACTGTTTGTTTGTTTGTTTCTATCGATCACCTTCTAAATAAAATCGTTGCTTATACTATTTGGGTAATGCGAACGAAGCGCATTATCAGATAACATTCCTGTAGCTTTTTCCTATGTGGCAACAGCTGATAAATATGTCTAATAAAATTGGGTAATTCAAATGTAGAGGCCTTGACAAGTATGAATGTAAGTCTGTGAGATTTTTAATATTATTCCATATCTACGTATCTTGAATCTCACGGTTTCGAAGTAACTGCGCAGTAGCTACACGCAGTTAGGTACCATGGAGCCAAACTTACTTGAGAAACGAGCGTGAAAATGCCTATTCACGTATAATTCCTCCATGATGCAGTTAATTTTGAGCACGGGTCGCTGATCACATCATACTTTCACTTTTACATGATTTCGTGCGAGTGTGGACGTGCCATGAGTCTAAGACGTCGACTCGCCGCCGCCGTAACCCTCATTTGAGCCGGAACAATGAAAGTTGCATTAATGAGTAGCTTGCTGATGTATTTGGTAGGTACAGGTAGGAGCGTATCCCACTTGCATACAATTACAAATACTAGACACAAATATCAAAACAAACACTACATTAAAATTATATATAACTAAGGACTTGTACTTAAATAATATATAGGTACGAAAATGAATTCTCGGCATATGGAATGTCAGTAAGTAATAATTGTCAGCTTCAGTTGGTAGTTCCGTTAGTTAAGACGCATATTGGCGAGCCACTAGCCATCGTGGTTATGTAAAAAGTGACAACTATTGCACAATTGCTTCATTCGATGGCGAAACGGACGGCTTTGAAATGCCAGTGAAAGTCGCCAAGTGACTTCGCTATAGGTATCATGATAACGCTGGCGTGAGTATTACCTGTATAAGTGCATAGAGCTAGCTTTATTGCGTTCAACACTTATGTTGTATTTATGCAAGAAATGTATTCTATGCATTGCGATTGCCCCTCGGGGGAATGGTCCCTTTGTAATCTTTGAAACAATAAGCATCGTGAGGGATAATTCAGAAAGCAAAATAGCATATCGGAATGGCATATTAATTCATGCATTTGTGCGTGCACTTAGAGAAATTCATACATGCGAGGTACATATATTAATTTGCCGAGTAGCATGTGTGAAGTGTGATAGATAAATGATAGCGTGGGTAGAAGTATATTTCTAGTATCTATATCACACTCGAAACCTATTAAAATTCTAGGTGTTTACTATTTATAAAAGAAACAGTTATAATAGTAAAATAACAGTACTTTCCCACTGCTAAAGAAAAGCGAAAATTTTAAATATCATATTAGATAATACGAAAACGAGGTTCACGGTCATTAGGAACGGCTATTGTATTGCCGTCACTCGTTTGTAGAGAGCCATTACGACCATAAAGAATGTCACATCGCAGCTAAATGTCAACGTTTTGGTGTCAAAAAACTAATTAAAAACTAATATTCATGTAGTTACGTTATGTATGACGTGTATTCGCTTTTATTTGTTTTGTCAAGCGTTTAAACTACTTTAGAAAAAGTAACAAATGCAGATATGAAATAACTCAACGAGGTATACTTTTGACAAACTGCAAGTTGACTGTATTCACTGTTGCGGTTGTTGAGTGCTTTTGGCGTCTCAAGATTGCGAAAACTGTCCGCTCTACTGCGCATCAATGTTGCCGCTTCGTAAAACGGATTATCCATGCTCGGTACGCCTCCACTATTTTGAAACTTAACAGTTTCTGTTATTTTTTGTTAAAATAAGAAACGAAATCTGCCGTCACAAGCTACCCTGAATTTAAGAATATTACTTGGTACTAATAACTAAGCATATTAAAGGCATGCACAAGTCTTGCCGGCTGTATAACCACACAAGGACTTTGATGCTTAATGTGGGTGTATTTAGAGTAACCAATTGAAACGTTGAGGTACCTATTATGTAATAATAATTGCTAAAAATATAATAATTGATATCTGGTGATTTCGATTAAATCGAAAATTAAAGCGTTCGTGTACCCATGCGATGAAGAGCATTCACTGCAGTGCAGCCTTACCGAGTCAATAGCTGACTGGAAGCCGGCCGGTAGCTGTCGGCGTAGCACCGCGCCGGCCGGCGCGTCGCGTGGCGCTGCGCCGACAGCGCTCTACGTCTTTCGCAAAGTGGATAGGTCGCTAGAGCTACTATGCATGTAAGCGTATGCGCAAGTAAGTTGTCGTATTTTTTTACCAAACTGCCGTTTCTGGATCTCGATTTGTGATTATCGATTACATGTTTACACCGTTAGTTTAATTTTAAAATTAGTTCATCACAGTTGCCATCTTGCCATGCTACAGAAATAGAATAGAGCTGTGGTGCTGCTAATTTTACCTCTATTATTTCCTAAAATAAATACAAGTAATACTTGCTTACAATTAAAGTAGAAATATTTAATTCGGCCTATACGTATTACAGGAATTCCAACCGCATTTAAAACCTTTTAATGAACAAATGAATTTAATTAAATCAGTTTCCCTTTAATGAAAGTTGTTGTAGCTCTATATAGTTATTGTAAGTACCTACATATAGTTTTCGATTGTTTAAGCATTGGGTATTCAGTGAGGCTGCAGTTGAAGTCACGTAGACACGCATGCATAAGCAATTCGGCTGTCAGCGGGCGATCGTGCACTAATAAATAGGTCAATAGCTTTACTACTTACTATCATATAATCGGTCTATTGTGCCTCGGCCTCGGTGTCATTGAGTCTACCAAACTAACTTTCAGTCGATTTACTTCACTTTGTAAACTGACTATCGATCGTGGATACCGCAATCGAAGCTAAATCAAGTATTATGTATTAAGCTTTCACTGCAAATTATCATCAACTATTTAAAGCACGTGTTTCTGAAGCAGAGGTGTACTCAATTGTCCTGTGACATTGACCTTAAAGTGATATTAACACTACCAGCTGCCCAAGAGAGATGTCAAACAATTTCACTACCTGTCATACGGTCATACCTCACACGTGACAATGAAACGTGTCGACTAAAGACGATTTTCTGGTCGCCTAACGTAATAATATCAATTAACAGTTATTTATTGAAATAAGTGAGTAAATAAAAGGAAAGTAACACTCACTTTGCTTTTGCAGTATGTATGGTTTTTTAAGTAGATGCTGTAGTGATAAACTTTATCTTTTGAGAATTAGAGCAAACATTGCCATTGACAAAGGAAAGTTTCTGGCGTAAGTTAAGCAACTATCTTCACTATCTCGTGAATAGATAAGTTACGATAATAATAGGTTACCTGCATATTACACAATACTCTTACTACTTACTTAGATACAGATAGGTGGAGTACCTATCTGTACAGTCCTACACCTACAAAATTATATTAATTTCTGAGCTGAAGCCAGAAATAAGTGCGTGGGCTGAAGTGAATCAACTTACCTACACGTGTTCGCTACACAAAATGTGTTCCCAAATATTCGCATGTTCCTGCAGATATAGACATTACTGGTATTTACAGATTGATATACACGTACATATCAGATCTGTACATGACATTTAATAAGTCTATGAATAACTTTACATTTCATTTTCCACGCCTACGTTTATATTTGACGATGTTTTCTTCATTCATTAATTCCAATTCCTAGTCAAAGGTACCAAATAAATAAGAAACATAGTTAATTAAAACATAATATTTCATTCATTCAAGCTTCTTATAAAACAAAAGAAACAACTATTAGAAACGTAATCAAGTGTATAATTCAGTAATACACTGCTACGGACAAGTTGTGTTGCAGCGGCTGACCA